TTTTTTGAGACAGAGTCTTCCTCTGTTGCCCAGGCTGGAGTGCAACAGTGCGATCTTGGCTCCCTGCAACAATCTCCGCCTCCCAGATTCAAGCGATTCTCCTGCCTCAGCCTCCCTAATAGCTGGGATTACAGGTGTGCACCATCATGCCCAGATAACCTTTGTGTTTTTGTAGAGATGGGGTATCACCGTGTTGGCAAGGCTGGTCTTGAACTCCTGATCTCAGGTGATCCGCCCACCTCGGCCTCCCAAAATACTAGGATTACAGACGTGAGCCACTATGCCTGGCCCGATATCCATATTTTAACTTGACCTCAAAATCCCTTCTTACCCGAAAGTCCTTACTTACCTCCCCTGCTTCCTTTCCTTCGCATTGCTCCTAGTTCCGTACACTCCAGACACACTTGGCTTTTTTATAGTGTGAAATGCACAAAGTTTGACCCCTTCTTAGAGCTCTACACTGGCTTACTATCTACCTATTACTCTTCTCTGGATCATCCATGACTGGTTGTTTCTTTCATTCAAGTGGTAGTTTAAGTGTTCCTCAGAAAGGTCAGTCCTACTCCCTTCACATGCATTCTGACACGTTTGCACTTTATTTTCTTCAGAGCACTTGTTACTCTTATAGTTGTATATCTACTTGTTCTACTCTGTCTCTCCTGAACAGAATGTAACCTCAATAGGAACAGGAGCTTTTTATTTTACTGCCTTACCTCTAATACCTAGAATGGTGCTTAAAGATTAATAAAAATGTGTTGAATAATGAACTTTATAGATCATATCACTTCCAATCCATTCGACAGTATTTTTCCATGTTTCTATATAAACATACCATCCAGTCCACATATGTTGTTCTCACTGTCCATGGAATCTACTCTCTATCGTGTCAGGTGCATTGAACTTTTTTCTTCAACCAGGTTGTAAGCTTTCGTCACCGGAGGCTCTTCCCTCTTTGTACTTCTCTAGGCTTCCACATCTAGCAGAGTTCTGAGTAGAAACATACTGGAATGCATTTGGTACATATTTAACAAACACTTATTGATTTACTTCCTCCTGTAATATTATATACTGTATTACTGAGCACTTTTGTGTCAGTGGGGCTAAAGTAGAAATAAAAATAAGCTGACCGACCGTAAAACACCAGCAGGAACAGGAACAAGGGAGAGTTTCCTTTTTTACCTTCTGATTCTATTTAAACAGTAAACTACAGTTTTCTGGAATGAGGTTGTGATGTTGAGGATCTACCTTGGGAAAATATCTGGCTTCCTTGTCTATCAAATGAGAGGCTGTACCAGTGAGTGTTGATTATCTTCCCACTCTAAGGTGCCAACATCTTTATATCCTGTTATTGACTCTTGCCACAATCCTAAAGTCATCTTGGATTTCATTCTCTTCTTTCATTCCTACACACACGCAGTGAACCCAAGTCTTTCCTTAGTTGTATTTATGACCAAATATTCTTATAAATTCTATTTGCTTCATCAGAACCTGACAAGCTATGGTCTTCTTGTCTTGTCCTCCTCTCCCCATCCCAAGTCTGCCCAGATGATTTCCTGTTAGAATAAATATCTCAGGCTCAAATTTAGGCCCTTTATCAATGATCCTACTCTGTTATTTCAGCTAGTTTTCTGTTGTTTCTGAAATGAATCTCCTGTTTTAGCTCAGTGGATCTCCTACCTTTTCCTCATTATTGATGTGCCTATTTTCTTCTTACTGCCTTTAAGCAATTTCCTTTTCCTTTTTTCTCTATAAATAAACCTAAATTCTGAATTTCATTTTTTTGTCCTTTTCTGTTGTTAAGAAGTCTTCTCTCAGTTTACATGTATTATTTTCCAGTTTAAAATTGGAAATTTACAATTGAATCCTTCATTAATAATGTTGGATTATCATTTTGTGTTTCATATTTTACCTCCCTAGTGATGTAATTTTCTTGGCAACAGGGACTTAGTAATTCTTACAATTAGGCACATCCGTTGTCACTACTGAGGATGAATGCATTTGATTGGTTCATGGCTCAGGAGGTCTGGCCAAAATTGCCTGGATCATGCAGATGAACCCTGACTGAGATGAAAGTTGTGCAACAGGAATCCTTGAAACCAGTGAGACAAAACAGCTTCTGACAAAAATACCTTCCTAGCTAGTGCCAAGTGCAATTTCATACATTACTCAGACCATGCAGGCAAAGCTGCAAAGTCAAAGAATTTTGATGTTAAGTAGCTTTATGTAAGTGTTAACTATTAATATGAGCCAGATGCTGGCAGGTATGTGAGACAGAAAGTCTGAGTTTGAATTCTGGTTTTGTTTCCAGTTAAGCTGGGTGATATTGGCTAAACAACTTACCCTCTCTGGGCTACAGTTCTTAATAAAATTTTAAAAAATTAAAAAATTTTTTTTCATTTTAAAACGAAAGGATTAGACTCCCAATTATTTTAAGGACCAGATTAATTATAAAATTATGTCATTCTATTTTCAAATCAATGACATGGCAGCCATAACCTTTGGGATTTTTCAGATATCGTGGTTCAATTTAGAATTTTTCCATTTTACAATGGGCTTATCTGGAAGTAACCACATGATAAGGTGAGGAGCTTCTTATGACTTATGATAGGGTTATGGTTTCTACTGAATGCATATATATTTCATACCATCCTAAAGTTGAAAATATTGGAAGTCAAGGACCATCTGCTGTGTTGCTAGACTTAAATGCAATTTTGGCTTACAATATTTTTAACCTACATTGTGTTTCTTGGGAAGTAACTCCATGGTAAGTGGAGAGCATTTTGTACTTTATTCTGTGTAATGGGATTTACTAGTTTCATGTGTAGTCAGGAACACTCACTTTCAGGTTTTGGCATTTACTTCTGTTTCTCAATTTGTGTGAAAGTGAATGGACAGATGGTTTATTAGGCTTTCAAATGCTTACAATGCTGTTGTTCAATTCAACAATGGTTTTAAACTTTGAATGTCCACACAGAGCTGGATTTTGTTTGGAACGGAAGATAGTTTCAACGCTTCAATTTAAGGATAAGAATGTTTACTGACATAACTTAGCGCAACTTTGGATATAACTACAAAGGCCTAATCAATTTCCTTTATTTTGGTATGTTTCTTAACTCATTTCCGCATCACAGCCTAACTCTTCCAAGTGCAGCTTCAAAAATGAGATTACTTAATAAACAAGACATCCAGTTATATTTGCATCTTTTGCCTTCGCTAGACTCATTTAACCTACACCCTCCTTCCATATACAAAATCCTTTACTTCAGAATCACGGAAATTTAAAGGAGGAAGGGACACATTCTTCACTTTACATGTAGACAAGAACACCTAGGACTTCCTGGTACTCTTTCTACTTTGTATTTTATAAATAAAACAGCTGAAGTGAAATTAGGTCGCAGGGAAAAAACATCCAACATTTGTGAATTTTAAGCCCCAGTGGAAAATCCCATTCCTTGAAATTCAAGTGGCAATGAGAATATTAGTGCATAAGGAAAGTATAGCTGGAATTATGCAAGTCAAACGATGGTCTCCACTGCTGTCGCTTTGCTTTGTGATTTTTAATTATTCAATGTGACTCTCTTCGTGTAAGTGGGACCGTGAACATGCAGCTGTTGAATACTCAAACTGCATCAGAAGTGTGTGGAGTAGTCAGAACTGAAAGGACGCGAAAAATGGAGTTAAAGGAAAGCATGGGCCTTGCCAGGAGGGATCCGAGGGGGTCTAGAGGTAGGGAAATTAAGACGCATTGGCAAAGCAGTTGCCGAGGAGGTAGGGGCTGCAGAGCAGGTAGAGGTGTCAGCAAGGGAGCCGGGAAAGCGCCGGCGCCCTGAGGCCCCAGCAGGCAGGGGAGAGGACGGGGAAAGAAGATGCAAGGGGCCAGCTGGAAAACTGCGGAAGGAAGCCGAGGTCCACCTAGTGAGCAGCACAGACCTTCCAGAAGGAAAGAGAAGGTAACTATGCGAGCTTAAACGGGACGAGGAGGTTGGGGAAAGTGTATGAAGAGTATGAAAAAGCTGAAGGGCCGGACGGGGTGTTGACGACAAGGGAAAGGGCCCGCAGGGGGGTGGGAGCGGAGAGAGGCCGGGGGACAAAGGGCAGGTGCCACCAGCCGAGCCCGCGGGCCGGGGCGGGGCTATTCGCGCGGGCGGGAGCGGCCGCTGACTTAGGGACCCCGCGCCGGCAGAGTCCCGGCTGCGCAGGGAGGCGGAGCCTCGAGTGCGCGGGCGGGCCGATGGGCGGGGCCAGCGCCTGACGCGCCCGGAGGCCGCGGCGGCCGCGGGCCGGGAGGGGCGGCGGCATCGCGGCGGTCGCGGGGGAGGGGCACGGCGTCAGCGCGTCGCCGGCTGGGCTGCGCCGGTGGCCAGGAGGGAGAGACGAGGAGGAGGAGGAGGAGGAGGTGAGTAGGCTCCGGGCTGGGGAGCCGCGCGGGCCGGCAGGGAGGCGGGGAGCGCGGCCCCTCCCCTCCCCGGCGCCCGCCTCGCGGGGCCGCGCTGCGCGGAGTTCCCAGAGGGGCAGCAGCGGAGGCTGCGGCGCGGGGAGCCGGGGGCGGGGGGTGTGGGGGAGGCGGAGCTGAGAGCCGAGCGCTTCCCGGGCGCACGCGCTGCGCTCCATGCGCAGTGGTCCGCCCAGCGCTCGGAATGAGGCGTCCAGCCCGTTGCGTTTTGTTCCTTCTGCAAACTGGCAGGGTTCGAATTGCATTTTCTTGATGCCTACACGTCGTGCGTGCCGGCTTTCCGCACCCCGGCACTCCGCTTCTTTCTCGCGCTGCCTGCGAGGACGGGTGGGGGCACGTCGCCCTCGCGCGGGAGAAGGGAGGCCGGGCGCCCGGGGTTGGCCTGAGTTGGCTGGGATGCCTCGCCGACCACCAGGCTGCCCGGCGCTTGGCCCCTTGCAGTGCGAGCCCCGGGCCTTCCTGAGGGTAACCTTCGCGTCTGGCTCCTGGTCGCTCTCACTTTCTAGACCTCCCTAGTGCCCCACTCCCCTCTGCCAGCCGAGTGTGAAGACCTCACTGTGTCCCCCTCCATCCCTTGTCTGAGGATTAAGCACATAACTTCCCGTTTTCCTCGGGATCCAGACAGCCCCGTTCTGTCCAGGTGGAAAGGTTCTCGGAATTTAAGTCTTGGGAATTCAGCAGCAAAATTTAATACTTTAGTCCCGAAGCTTTTTTTTTTTTTTGCCTTCTCTCGCACGTACAACTCTGAGAGTCTTCTGAGAACTCTGTCGCATTAGGTTATCTTGAGATTCTTAAGTTAACTTCCTTGAGGCCCTGTGATGGCAGGTTCAGAAAGAAGGCTTTTACAATTTTTCCTCCACCCATATCGCAGTTTGAAATGGAAAACGTGAGTTGATGATTTTCCACGCGAGATGGATTTCAGTTGGCAGCCCCCGGCCGCCGTGGCTCACCTTGGTTATTTGGTGCTACCCCGGAAGTTGATTTTAAAGCTAAACATAGTGGTTAGGTAAAGGAGCTACTGAAAAAGAAGCTCACTACAATTCAATAGAGCCATTCTATTGGATTCTGTTAACTTGTTTAACCTTAAGCTTTAACCATGACAGGAGTTTCGCATAGGAACCCACATACCAAGTGAAATATTGAATTTTAATTAGTGCGTTCCAGGTCTGACTTGGATTAGATCGGCTCCCACTCCCTTTTGGTATACATTTTCCTCAGGATCCTGTACTGAATGTAATGGAAACAGTTTTAGTATTGAGGGTTTAGAGGAGTACGTCTTGAATCGCGAAACTTTCTTTGACATACTTGAAAACAATGATTAGGTAAAATTTGAAGCATGATACTTGCAATAAGGCAGGAAATAGTGATTTTTTTGACATCACCAGTTTGCAAAGATGGCTTCTTTACTCCTGATTTGAAAATTGTGTTGACATTTTAATCTTACGCATCACAGAAGTACAAAGTTTTCGATTTGTAAGGGACCTTGCAGTATAATCCAATCCCATTATTTTACAGAAAAGTTGAGAATCGAAGACAGTTTCTTGATGAGATTTAGTAGGAGCCGAATAGAACTAGTTGCCTTAATTAAATACTTAACTAGGTAATTCAGACCTCTTTTATTCTTGTACTAAAGTTTGTTTGATGATGGTATCTTAAAAAGCCAAGTAATTGGCTGGGCGCGGTGGCTCACGCTTGTAATCCCAGCACTTTGGGAGGCTGAGGCAGGTGGATCATGAGGTGGTGAGTTCGAGACCAACCTGGCCAACATGGTTGCACCCCATCTCTACTAAAAATACAAAATTTAGCCGGGTGTGGTGGCGC